GGAGGAAACGAAACGACATATAGTTATATAGTACGTAGTAGTGTGTGTGTGTGTGTGTGTGTGTGTGTGTGTGTGTGTGTGTGTGTGTGTGTGTGTGTGTGTGTGTGTGTGTGTGTGTTGGGGAAACTGGAGTGCAGGATAGCCCACAGGCAGGCCCACAGTCAAGGCTAGGACTTAGGACTGTTACCAAGTACCAGCCATTCGGCTTTACCACATGTCAGGCTCTCACAACAATCCTAAGAAGCAGATACTATTTACCCCGATTTAAAAGTGCAGAGACTGAAGTTAAAGTCATCCAGGCAGTGAGTGACTGAGCCAGAGTCAAAGCTAGGTCCTTTGGCCCCAGAACCCATGTTTTTGTCCCGGGATCAGCTACCTCTTTAGAAACGAAAGCTGAAAGTAGCTTGGACGGTTGCACAGAACACATCCTGAGCCCCACAGGTGCGGTCTTGTCTAGGGTTAGCCATGCTTTCACACCCTTCCCACCGGCACACCTCCTCGGTTACCCTGTCCTATAAACACTTCCAGGCCGCTTGGTAATCCATGAGTTTCCTCACCCAGTGGCATTTTTCCAAGACCTGATAGCCTAGTTGGTGATCCTGCTTAGAATTTTCTAGAGTCTAGCTTGCTGGGTGAGAGGAAATGGAAAAGGGGTGTTTGAAGGGGCAGTGGTGAAAAACAAGGGGTGTCATCTCTCATCTGGATCCCAGCAATAGCTGCAGCCCCTAACTGTTCTCCCTGCCTCTGTGCTGCCCTCCGACCCACTCAGCACCGCACAGCTAGACTGAGCCTCCTAAAATATCATCCTTTCTGCAGCCGCCCCCGCTCAGAGCATCAGAGGCCCGCTTGGGCTCACATTCATTACGGAGGACCCCTGGTGTCCTCTGGACCCAGCCCCCACCCCCAACTTCTCTAGCCTTCTCTCTCACCACTGCCCCTCACACTTGGGAAGACAAGAGACTTGGAACAACAGGATAGCTATGAACTCTATGTGGCTATTTGAATTAAAATTAATTCAATTACCATTAAAAATTCAGTTTCTCCATCACACTAGTCACATTTCAAGCGTTCCTGTAGCTCATGGCTACTGTACTGGACAATGCAGATACAGAATGTTCCTATCATTACAGAAAGTTCTGTTGGACTGCACTGGGTTGGATTTTTCTCTTACAAAGGAAGCCCTGATCAAGGAATGTTATCAGCTTTAGAGGGATCCAGAGTAGACTTCACCTATTCAGTGACTCTTTCAACAAATATTTGGCACCTACTATATTCCGGGCAGTAGTAGCAGTTGGTCCTTTCCTGGGAGTGAAAAGGCAAATTGCTAAGTGCCCAAGCCCAGGCTAGGGCAGCCAGGAAGGCTTCCTGGAGAAGGGGGCTTTTAAGCACAGACCTGCAGGCTGAGGAAGTGCTGGCTAGGCCGAGTTGTTCTCCAGACCATGTTTCTGTTTGGTCCTCTGGGTCCCTTATCACAGACTGTCCCAGCAGCCCAGACTGCTCCTCCTCTTTTTCCCCAGGGAGGGCAGGGATGAGGCTAGTTCCTTAAAGTCAGTCCCCCAGCTGGGACCAAGCAGAGTCCCTGTTGAGCCACAAACTCGAGCGCTATGCTGTGGCCTCTACTCCACCCCCTACAGGCCACATGGCTTCAGGGCTAGGTAAATTCACCGCTTGGTAAAATTAGGTCCTAAGGCCTTTGTGGCCATAGGGTGGAGGGTTCCTCAAAAGAACTCAAACCTGCACAGCTGGTGGGGCATGCAGGAGTCTGACTCCACCCTGAGACCCACCCTCTCCAGCCCTGAGTCCCTGCCTGGGTCAGCCTGAGGACAGTGTACAGTGACCACTCCCAGCCAGGGCCTGGAGGGAGCCAGGGCTGGCTAACAGAGCAGAGGGAGGCTGGCTTGGGGTCGCATCTCCCTTTCTGGGCTAGAGTTCTCAGCTGCTAATCACCCCCCCCAACACACATATACAAACAGCAGTGCCCACCCTCACCCCACCCTGAGCCAGCCGCTTCATCCGGTTCCTCTTCCTGGTGCCACAGCCATAAATTACTTCCCTCCAGTAGTGAACGCTGAAAGCGGCAGTTCATTGACCGGAATTCACGTGACATTGATTGGAAAGAAGGGC